TGGAAGACAGAAAGGGCAGGCCCCACCTCTGATGCGTGGGCCACAGTGTTAGGAGGTGATTGTCTTAGGTGCTGCTTTAGCTCTCTTTGATCCCAGCTGTCTTGTTCTCCCCTAGGAAAAGTCTCCTTGAATGATTCCTCAATGCCAAATGCTCAATTTTTTCCAGATAATGGGTGAAATGTACAAGGGCGGTAAAAACAATTGTTTGAAAATGCCTTTGACTGATAGTTTTTAAAAAATCTCTAGTTTACTAAATACAAGTATTTCTAGCTTTTATTTTTTTCTTTTAGCTTTTTAATTGTATGTATTTAAAGAGTACAACATGATTTATTGTATATATTTAAGGAGTACAACATGATTTCTAAGGGGATTTCCAACAAACAAGTAGTTGTTCCCCCTGGAAATATATGTACTTCTTTAGAACAATGTTAAAACTGTAATTGGATACAGTAGGCGTGCTCTAACACATTTTCAGAGTTAAAATATGGCTTATAGTATATTCCATCTACTCTTATGGCAACTTTTAGAACACTTGAAGTCATTTAGGAATCATTTAGGAAAAAATGAAATACTAAGCGTTTGTCTTTTGCAATCTTCATAGAACCTGTGAGAGGATAGCAGAGGTCAGTACCCAGCTTACTGTGAAGAAAGAGAACAGATATCCAGCCACTGCTTCTCCTACAAGGCCAGTCCTCGAGTCACCTTTTGTTGGAAGTCTTAATGACAGTGAAGCTCTCAACAGAAGACATATTGAAAGAAGAAGCAGATCTTCACATGAGAGCATGGAGAGCTTCTTGTTGAGGGTTAGTTATATTATCGTTTTTCCTTTGGTGTTTAGGTTTCTGATATAATTCTGGTATGTTATTTGGTGAAATACTCAGTTGTTTAATTGTGTTGTGTATGGTAAGCAAAGGTAATAATTATCTCTGTTAATAACGAGGGGAGACAGAAATTTTAGTTATTTTGAAATCCCCGGAGCTCTCATTCATAGGAGATTACTCGTTTGTTAACTTTATTCAGTAAATGTAACCAAACTGACACAGTTTAAATTTCTTTAAAAGCTACAATTAAGTTAGATTTTAACAAAGGTATACTTTGATGTGCGTTGTCTTACTAATAGATTTTATGTTTGCCTGGGGTTCAAAAGGATTTAGTGTGCCTGGGGTCACTTTTAAAGTTTTTCTGCATCATCATGACAAGGAGACCCAGGCATCTAGGATCACCTTCCCCTTTACCTCCACACTGCATTTCATTCAAATAAAAGGATGGCCAACTGGCCTCCTAAATCACGTTCCTGTAAATAGCAGGCATGGTGTGGGGGAATCTCCAGAAAACATTGCTTTTACTTAAACAAGATCAAAACCCCATTCCACTCCTTCATCGATCAAGACCCTTTCATAGGTGCGTTCTAAAACTGTAAACCCAAGACCCTTTCATATGTGATTTCTAAAGCTGTAAACCCAAGATCTTTTCACTTGTAATTGCTAAGGCTGTGAACCTAAGATTCTTTCATGTGTAATATCTAGAGTATAAGCCTATATAAAGGCAGAGCTTCTCTTTGTTAGGAGAGTGTGGTCATGTAGACACATTGTCGCCTGGCTCCCGGCCGTAATAATAATAATAATAATAATCACCTCTTCCTTCGCAGTTCGGTGTTCGAGGGATCTGTTTCTCGAGGCCAATCCTGCTTTCAATCAATCTTTCAAATCAATCTCAGGTTTTCTGCCCCTCATCATATGTGATTGATTGGTATCCACACACTAACCACACGTGGATGTTTATTATTTAAAAAGATCCAATGTGAATACGTTTAATACGTTGTATAAACCTGCAACACTTGATTAATCTCTCTTCTTTAAGTTAAAAGTTTTGTGAGTACACCTGTAATTGCTATTGCTCTTACAGCATTTTAATCTCCATCTTTGTAAAATGTTTCTATTGCTATGCAATTGTACAGTAATTCTGAAATAAACAAATATCTGAATTTTTAAAGTAAAGCTCAGTTATATCTTTCTACCAAGCCATAACTTGATGACTAAGATGGCAGTGATATCTAGAGTCCTTCAGTAGCAAATGTGACCAAACAGAATCAATTCTATTCTTTCTATGCCAAATTCCATATAAAGCTGCACATGGACATCTCCTCTGGACCGGTAACAGGAACCTTTTAGTTCAACCATGTGGTTTTGTGACATGGTAAAAGCCCTATAAAACTGCATACCTCAATCATACCTCGGCTTTCCGTTGAAACTGCTCTCTGTAACCCAAATGTGACAGGCAAGGAGTCCAAACCCATGCCATCTTGGCCCCTGTGACTTGTAATTTCCACCCTACCCAGACAATGTGTAAACAAATGCTTATCTTGACTTTTGTGAACCGCTTAAGTAACAATCAGAATATCAAAAGTCCCCTGGCCCTTGGAATGTCCGGAGCCCCTCACCCTCATCTCCGCCCAGGAGGTGATTTACAGAATCTACTAGACCTCGGAATGTCTGAAGCCCCTCACCCCCACCCCCGCCCCTCACCCTCACTCCCAAGGTGGTGGTACAGGTATAAAAGGTCTTGACACGCTCCTTTCGGGGCCACGGTTTGGAGAGACTTGAGTCCTCTGTGGCCGCCGGCAATAAAGACCCTGCAATCTGGCATACTTTTGTCTTGGTGTTGACTTTCTATGCTCGCTCCACTACAACAGTTTCACTCAGAGTGAGTCTGTTTCTGGGGATTTCAAAATGGATCCGGGAATGACAAGCTGTGTCAATTATAGAATAGGTAAAGAAAAAAATATGGAGTTCAACTATGCTTAACTCAGATTAAGGTATTTGTCTAACATTTGTCCATTTTTCAACTGGTGGAAAATTATAAAAGCTGGTCACAGTGGCACAGGCCTGTAATCCCAGCTACACCTGAGGCTGAGGGCAGACAGATCACTTGAGCCCAGGAGTTCAAGGCTTCAGTGTGTAATGATTGTACTGTAGCACTGTAGCACTCCAGCCAGGGCAATATAGCAAGATTCTGCCTCTTATAAAAATTACAAAATCCATAAAACATTTGTATGAACAAAAATAAATAAATAGTTTTCTTTGTGTATATTTTTAATTTTTTAAATTTCAGTCAATGCACATTGGCTTATAGTTTCAGTGGTTTTGTTGTTGTTATTTTGTTTTTTGGCTTTTGTTTTGGTTTTGTTTTGTTTTGTTTTGTTTTGTTTATAAGACGGAGTTTTACCATGTTGGTTAGGCTGGTCTTGAACTCCTAACCTCAGGTGATACGCCCACCTTGACCTCCAAAGTGCCTGGAATACAGGTGTGAGCCACATCGTGCAGCTTATTCTGTTTTTGTTTTTTTTTTGAGATGGAGTCTTGCTCTGTCGCCCAGGGTGGAGTGCACTGGTGCAATCTTGGCTCACTGCAACCTCTGCCTCCTGGGTTCAAGCGAGTCTCCTGCCTCAGCCTCCCAAGCAGCTGGGATTATAGGTGTGCACCACCACACCCAGCTAATTTTTGTATTTTTAGTGGAGATGGGGTTTCACTATATTGGCCAGGTTGGCCTTAAACTCCTGACCTCGTGATCTGCCTGCCTCAGCCTCCCAGAGTCCAGGGATTACAGGTGTGAGCCACCATGCCTGGCTTAGTTTTGGTGTTTTTATGATCTCCTTAATGCACAGAAAATTAGCATAGGCCCACATGGAATGAGGCCTCGACCTTGTGTTTACCTGGCTATTTCATGTCCTAACATATCACAGAAGAGCAAATCTGTGGTTTCTTAG